AAGAAACTTTTTCCTGCATCAGCAAAATCCAGAAGGAAAAAACTTCTTTCAATCCATAAAAAAATTCTCAAATAAAAAACACTCACCATGATCCATATATGCAATGGGTACGTACAATCATGATAACTCTTCCAATTGATTGCAACAATGATTCTAATCGAAAAGAATTGTTAAACTAACAAGTACTTCTCCAATAAACACAAAAGAAGACAACAATAGATTCATTTCCTCCAATTTTCCAAGCAGTCAAACTGTGCTAAACAAAACTCCATAAATGTACAAAAGTAGCAAGAAAATCAGAAACCGAACTGATAGAGAAAAAGGATACACACTTGTAGCCAGCATAGACAGGAAAAACCCATCATACCTGCAAAAAAGGGGGGACGATAATAAAAAAAACCTAATTTGAATGCATAAATAAATGAAAAAAAAATTAAAGAGATGAAAAACTAACCACTTGAAATCGACGCCTCTTATGGTCATAGAAGAAAGAGTTTGAAAAAAGTATAACAGAAGGAGTCGTCAGCTTTAGAGAGAGTAAGAACAGAAAAACACAAAAGATCTGATATTCATTCGGAACCCAAAAAACCAAAAACAAAAAAGAGGATGAAATCGAACAAGAATATATTCGTACGATGGTTAACTTTGCTTTAGTTTTTGATTCATTCATTAGAGAAACTAATTTTCAGAAATAACAAAGAAAAAGAAAGAAAATGGTAAAGGTGAAGTGAAATTCAGCAGCATTTTGAGGACTCGAAAGTAAACAAAAGGGCCGACCTTAGTTAATTCGAGGTGGCGTTGAAAATATTAAAATGTTACCTTCTTATTTAATTATGTTGAAATAAGATTTAATGCTTAAATAAGTGTCCAAAAATATAATTGATATGTCACAATTTAATAATTTTAAAAAATTTATATAAAATTAAAAAAATTATATATTTTAGAAAAATATATAAATTTTGAAATAACTCTTAAATTTTAAAAATCTTCATTTCAACCCCTAATATAAGAAATGCTAGAGATTTTTATAAATATAATAATATTTTTAATATTTAAAAAATTTTAAAATTATCAGATTGTGACACATGTTATTTAATGAAAAAAACTAACTTTGTTGACGGCTCGAGCACCAAAAGTGTTAACTTTTCTAACGTTAGGCACTCAAATGGGCCAAAAAAAATGTAGGCTCGTATTTAGCACAAAAGATATAATTTGGACACTTATTTGGGCACTAAGCCTTTAAATAATTATTAAATTTTATTTAATTTATCAAATTTTTACAAATTAAGTTTTATAATATGAGTAAACTACATAATTAATCACTTTCGTTTTAGTTTTGTACACTTTTCTTTAAATTTAAAAATATAATTGTTGAAAACATTTTGATGTTTCGATATAACAAATTGGGTGTTATTGAATTTTAAGATTTTATAATTATTTTTAAGTATATTCGATTAAATTATTCGAATATCAAAATATTACTTCAAGTTTTTTAAAGGTCAATTTTAATCCTTACTAAAGTGTAAAATTATGTTTGGATCTTAAAATATTTTTGATACAATTTTACAAAGTATTTCGAACCATAATCGAGCCAAAAATCAATTTTTACAAAGGGATCTACCGATACACTCTTTAGTGTATCGATGCGCACCCAACATCGAAGCTATTTTATGTACCGATGCACAACCATGCATCTATACACTCATGGCTCTTTTAAAACATCGAATGTAAATAGTGTACCGATACACCTGGTGTGTACCGATACACTCGGTCATATAACGGTCGAAATATTTGAATTTTACACACAGTGTACCGATACACCATAACAGTGTACCGATACACTCATGCTCCCAATAGATTTTTTAAATGATAATTACACAATAACGACTCTATTGACTTCTCCAATAATCCTCAACGTTCAGAAGTGATTCAAGGAGTATTTAAACAAGCTGAGGAGCCATTGATCAACAAGAATTGTGAGAAAAACAAAGAGAAACCCTTAAACATCAAGTTTGAGCATTTCAAGCCAATTTTCATTTAATATTCATTTTTACTTTCAATAACACTACTTGTACTCAATTATATTATTCTTGAGTGTTCTTTCTTTGTTCTAGAATTGTGCAAACATCTTGCCTTGTGAGGTTTTCTGTAAGTTTGCGAAATTTGTATTCTTCTCTTTGGGAGAGAGTGTTCTCAAGAATTTGGGGTATAATTCTTGAGGGAGTTGTAAGGTTACTCTTTGTCCTCAAAGGAAAGAACAAATTAGTGAATTTGTTGGGAAATCCTTAGTGTGAATGACTAAGATAGTAGACGTAGACTTTGGTTGAGAAAGTCGAACCACTCTAAATAGCTGTGCAAATATTTTCTATTTTCTGCAAAAGTTTCCACCAAAATTTTAATTGCCAATTCACCCTCACTCTTGGCTATTTCGTCGATCGATTAACTCAACAATAATCTTTAGTCGCAATGTAAAATACAGTATATCATTTTTTTATTAATTTAGGATAAGTACAAGGTAATATTTGTTTTAAAATAACTTTATACCAATTGACATTGAGCGCTCATACTCTTAACATTTCTAGTACTTAAATCCAATACCTTAAAGAGAACAACTCTTTTACCACAGATGTCATTTGACTCGTGAAAAACATATTAATGTTAAATTGGGAAAATGAGTTCCAGTTGAGCTATATATCCTTTATGCTACTCCATCTATTTCATAATTTTCTTTAATTATTGATGATATATATATCTTTTAAATATAATTATCTGAATTTAAAATTTTTAATTATTTTTATCATTTAAATCACATAATAAATTCTTATTTCACAGTCATTCGTCACATTAGGGTTAACTTCCAAAATGTTGCTTCATCATAGCCCGTAAGTTCATATGGGTGAGTACCGAGTAGAACAATGGATACCCGCCGAGTCACCAAGTACTCTCAAGCCTTATTCTGTGGTGGGTCCAACTGCAAAGCCCGTCCCATTTTTTAAGCTTATTTAGAACCAGTACCTATTTTTCCCCTCTAGTTTCGAGGTTTCACTTTAATTAATCTGAATTGACCTGAGTCACACATCTGGTTTTAGTGGGTAAGTTTCTAAACAAATTTTTTTACATACACAACGACTCGAAAATGAGACTTTACTTAAACGATATCAAACTATTTACCACTTGAACAACCCTTTTAGTAGAACCTATAGCTATTTTGTTAGATGGTTAACTTTATTAAATTATTTAGAATTAAAACATGATTAAATTAAAATAATTTATAAATATTAAAAATTAAATTTATTAAATTATAATTTTTTGATAGAAGCAACTAATTTTATTTAAAATAATAAATATTTCAAATTACAATAATGATTTACAATCACAATCGTAATTAAACACATAACTAGGAAAATTTCCTATAATCATTGAAACAAAATTAGCAACTTAAGATTACATAAGGATCATACAAGGAAAGATTAAATCTAACCAAGAAACTCGAACAAAGATAGATATAAACATATCTGATCGCATCGGTAAACAAACCACAAAAGGAGATCAAACTATTGAAAGATCACTGATAAATCGCAAATCAGAATCGAGCGACGTGAAAAGCTATCCACAAACGCAAATTGGGTATTCAAATCCAATTCGATGGTCCAAAGCAGGGAAGATCAACAAGATATTGATAAGTGTCATATTGATCTGTTGTGGCGATATCAAATCAACCTTGAGAAAAAAAAATGGAAAAACGACCAAAGAACAGAAAAACATGTCAAAAAGCATAAGAAAACATGTTGTAAAAGCATATGAAAACATGCAACACAAATAGAATTATTGAAAATAAAAAAATAAAAGAAAATAAATATACGATATAGAAATAAAAAATATAAAAAATAATATCGACGGTTGACAACCAACATTAAAATTAATGTTGTCATCAATCAACAAAAACGAAAAAGAAAATATATGACCGGCACACTAATGATAGAAAACTAAACGTGTTATTATATTTTAAAATAGGTCTAATCTTATTAAATATATAAATATGAAAACTAGACGTGTTATTATATGAATTTTAAAATTATTACGTCAGTCTTTTTATTTAGTTATGAGAATAAAATGAATCACATAATTTAATAACCTACTCTTTATTATTATTATTGTTTTTAAAAATTCTAACTTTAATTTTAATATTAAATTGAAATTGAAATATTTTAATAGATTAACTTAATGTATAATACATATATGACAATTAAATGTAAACCAGACCAAACAAACATATGATAATTACGTACAGCGAGGCATGCAAAAGAGGGGAGAAACAATTGTCCCCGACATCAGGCGGATCTGCCAATCCCTGCTAGTTTTGGCTGGAGATGCGTGTTCCACGCGTTTCTAAACAGCGGGTGGGCCTTTGTAACAGCCTGCAAACTAAAATGAATGGCACAAAACTCAAAATGGTATACGGAAAAGGACCATACCAATACGGTAAATGTCCGACACACCCACGGATCCCAGACTCCACCTGGCCCCACTCTGCCCCCAATTATAATTTAAATAATCTATATTAAATATCACTCATCTTTAAGTTCGGACTTAAAAATGTCATCGACATTTTAATTTTGTTAATTTTAATAAAGACGTTTATATTTCACTGCAATTTTGTCACTCGCCGTTAATCCGTTAACGAGACGATGACATGATATATTTTTTCCGTGACGACGATGACATGTCACTCATCAAAACGACGTCGTTTTGGCACGACCGTTTTGATGCTTAAAAAGCTCAAAACGACGTCCTTTTGTTGATGAAAAATATGTTTTTAATGAGATTCAAACCGTAGACATTTAGAATCCAAATCTAAATACACAACCACCAAGCTAACTTAAGAACTTGGTATAACCTTAGCAAAACTATTATAAATAGCAACGCTACCACCGTCACCCTCATTATCTTCCTCATTATCTTCATGTGAAAATATTCAAACAAACAAACAAACCCTAATTCTTCTGCATTTCATTCCAAGAACGTTTCCATGACATCCGTGTACATCCCGGGCTCGGAGTTCCTATACTCCCCGGGTTGGTGCTGATGATGCTCGACTGAAGTCGACGATGAAGACGTTGCCATCCTTGCGGGTATCAGAAAGTTCTTTAACTTATCCATCTTCCTCGTATTCTTCGGATGACTATCCAAGCTATATGGATTTTGATTCGAGTATTTTTCTTCGAGTATAAGTGGGTGATGGTTTGTTTCTGGTTTGTTCCCTACGCTCTCAGAGTTGAATAAAAGCTTGGTGTCTTCGGTTCGTCCGGTGAGAGCACTGAAGAAACTCAAGCCATTAGGCCATTTGATGTCGTTTTCATGCTCAACCATCATGTCTTCCATTTGGGTTTCGGACGAACGTGGTAGTAGGAACATGTGGGTTTCGTCTTTGGGTTGCTGAAATCCAAGTCTAACCGGGTTCTGAAAATTAGGCGAAGCAAGCGTCGGATTAGTTGTTGTCGGAAGTGGTTGTTGGCTCCAATTGAAGAGCGGAGGAGGTGGCAACATTGGAACGGTGGACTGCTTCGAAAGAATAGTCGATAGTGACGAACCATTTCTATTCAATGAAAATAACTGAGACAGACAGAAACCAGATTGGTATCCAAGAGATTTAAAGGTATGCCTCATTCTCAGAACAAAATGAAGGTCTTCGGGTATCTGTTGATTAAAAAACCAGGCTTCAATCCCAAAAATCGACTAAACAACTAGTAATCATAATTTTTTTCACATGAAGAACCAAATTTATAATAGTTTTGTTAAGATTATACCAAGTTCTTAAGTTAGTTTGGTGGTTGGGTATTTAGATTTGGATTCTAAAGGTCTATGGTTCGAATCTCATGAAAAACATATTTTTCATCAACAAAACGACGTCGTTTTGAGCTTTTTGAGCATCAAAACGGTCGTGCCAAAACGACGTCGTTTTGATGAGGGTGCCATGTCATCGCCGTCACGGAAAAAAGATGCCATGTCATCGTCCCGTTAACGAATTAACGGCGGAGTGGCAAAATTGCAGTGAAACATAAACGCCCGTGCTAAAATTGGCAAAATTGAAATATCGATGGCATTTTCGAGTACGAACTTAAAGATGAGTGATATTTGACATAGATTACCCTTATAATTAATAGTACTAAAAAATAAGATAACTTAGTGTAAACTTTAGTGTAAATTACACCGTTCCTCACTGAATTTTATTATCTCTCCTAGTTTGATCAACGTACTTTCAATTTTGTTGAGTTAATCGATTGATGGAATCGACCAAGAGGGGGTGAATTGGCAATTAAAAAATTGGTGGAAGATTTTGCAGAAAATTAAAAGTAATTGCATAGCGATTTAGAGTGGTTCGACTTTCTCAACCAAAGTCTACGTCCACTACCTTAGCTATCCACACTAAGGATTTTCCAACAAATTCACTAATTTGTTCTTTCTTTTGAGGACAAAGAGTAACCTTACAACTCCCTTAAGAATTATACCTCAATTCTTGAGCACACTCTCTCCCAAAGAGAAATACACAAATTTCGCAAACTTACAAGAAAACCTCACAAAGTAAGATGTTTGCACAATTCTAGAACAAGAAAAGAACACTAAAAATGATTACAAATGAGCATAATGTATGTTTTTGAAAGCAAAATGAATATTGAAGGAAAATTGGCTTGAATTGCACAAACTTGGTGTTTGATACTTTCTCTCTTGTTTCTCAATGATTTCTTGTTTATCAATGGCTTCAGAACTTGTTTAAATACACCTTGGGATGATTCTAACCGTTGGGAACCATTTGGATGAAGTTAGAGCCGTTGTAGTGTGAAAAACAATTAATAAAACAGCTTGGAGCGTGGGGGTATCGGTATCCCTTCATAGGGTATCGATACCTGCAGTGTAAAATTTAAATATTTTGACTGTTATATGCCTTAGGGTATTAGTACCTCCTGAGGGGTATCAGTACCATTTCATAGGGGTATCGGTACCATCCGAGCATTTTGTTATTTCTCGAAACCAAAACGTTCATAGGGGTATCGGTACTCTATAGGGGGTATCGATACCATACTAAGTAAATTTTATTTTTGGCTCGAATATGACTCGAAATACTTTGTAAAAATTGTTTCAAAAATATTTTAAGATTGAAACTTAATTTTACACTTGAGTAAGTATTGAAATAGACTTTTTGAAAACTTGGAGTAATAATTTTCATATTCAAATAATTTAATAGAATATATAATTCAATATAAAATCTTAAAATTAATTAACACTTAATTTGTTATATCGAAACATCAAAATATTTTCAACAATCTCCCCCTTTTGATATAACAAAACATTTTAGTAATTTTAAGGTTTTCTATTTGAAAATCATTTTTGAAATCAAGTTTGAAAAAATTGAAAAAATTACCCCCTTACTCTAACACTTCTCCCCCTTTTTGTTAAATAAAAAAGAAGACTCTAAAAGGTTTATATAACAAGTTTTTGCCAATTGATGTGAATTAGATAAAGCTTAAGCTGCTAAATCAAAATCAAGAGAAAGAATAACCATGAGTTCCATAATCAATATTCATAAACAAATGTGCAATGGAAATTGGTCATATATTCTAAATGATGCAAAATTAATAGACTTTTAAGTTCAATATTCAAATAAATACATTCAAACCAACAATTACCATCCCAAACATCTAAAATATCCATAACAAATTCAAATCACAAATATTCAAAGCAAATTTAAACATCCACAAAAGCATCAAAAAAGCTAAAAACAATAAGTTCTAAGTTCAATCCTAGATATCTAAAGCAAAGCAAGGTTCAAGCATCCGTTGGAGGATCAGGAGGAGGATAATGAGCTCGCATAGCTGCCATCACATGTGTGAGTGCATTAATACGTTCATTCATAGTTGTATTGTTCGTGCGTATCTCCCAGAGAATTTCCAATTGTTGAGCTCCCATTGTGGATAAATGAGACTTTATGGAAGTTATGCGTGAATCCATGGATACATATCGAAAATCGAATGTCTCCATAAAAGATTGAAAATATGGAGGCATTTGATCCGCTTGTTGTGCTTGTTCTTTAGGCTGTTCCGGCTCGTCGTCGGCTTCGTCAATATCTTGCATTATTTGTTGAAGCTCTGGATCGTCATCAGCTCCCGGTGGAGCTCGTGAAGAACTAGCTCCCGGAGTTTCCTCAGAGGATCGAACCCATACATCGGTTTCCTTATCCTTTGTCCATCCTGATCTCGTTAAGGAAAGAAGATTAATTTGGTTTTGAGAGGGATGGCTACATCAAGCTGTACCCTAAGCTCGGTTTTCTTAAACAAGTTACTCAGTAGACAACCATAAACTAGACTTGGACAAGTTTTCTTATTAGGAACGAGATTCACGGTGTCAACGAGAACCGAAAAGATAATATAAGGAAGGTTAATTTTCATATTATTATGGATACAATGTATCAACCACAAATCTAAGGCTCTAAGAGTGGAGTATTTTCCTCCGGATGGTCTAAACCACCAAGAGATCAAAAGATGAAGAAATCGATCGTGATGATCTAAGATACTCGCACTTGATCTAACCTTGTAACGGGAACCTATGATTTATTTTTCATTGTATAATCCATTATCATCTAAGTCAAAAGCATTTGCTATATACTGAGAATCAATCTAAATGAATTGACCAAGAAGATAGGATCGAATCCCTATGTTTGTAATTTATTCTTGATTTTGAATGCAAACGACATTGGAATAGAAGATTCGAACGGGTTGTTGATAAACAATCGGTTCGAGTTGACAGAGTTTATCAAATTTCCAATCTAATAGGGTAGGTAGATATCTAAAGTTCATATCTACCATAGATTGAAGGGACAAGATGCATTCTTCGCGAATTTTATATGACTCAAAGTAATGAGAATACCTATAGTGTAGATCTTGTCTACGTCCAGGTTCATTAAAGCACGAATTACCTATAGTCATAATGGAATCAGGAATTTGAGGAGGAATTGGAGGATTTGGATTTGGAGGTGGGTTTTGAGGTCAGTTAGGCCGACTAGAAGAGGACCTAGGTCGTTTGTGAGACATGACTTAGGAAATCGGAATAGAATGGATAACCTGCAATTTTGAAAACACATGTATGCAAATATATCAATCCCAAAAACTCAATAATGTTTTAAAACTATTTTAAAAATAATGTTTAAGAATCATAATACGTATAGTTTTTCATGAAAATAACATAATTGAATCAAAAACATCAATTAAACCCATGATTTTCAAAAATAATATATATATATATATATATATATTATTTTTTTTATTTCGAAATTTTGAATTTTTTTGAAAAGTATTGTGTTTTTGATGAAATTAGTTGTAGAATCTAGTTTAGAAGAAACATGTGATTAATGCCCGATAATTATTTCAACCAGAACTAATCTAAACTAGTCCTAAGTTCAAAAATTAATTGAAATAGAGGTTTTTGAACAATACCTTGAAAATTTTGGATTTGAGTGGAATATAGTGATATTTTGCACGAATTAATGATTGAAACAGGATTGGGAGTTGAGATGCAAACAAATTCCGACTAAAAATCGATGTTTTGAAGCAATGTAGTGATTTAGGGGAGATGGAGAGAGGGAACGGCGGCAAAGAGTGAGAAGAGAGGGTTTGAGAAAATGTGGTTTATTTGGGGTGTTTATCAACAAACCCCGTGGAGGGTATCAGTACCATCAGGGGGTATCGATACCCATTCAAAGATGGTATCAATACCTATTGCAGGGGTATCGATACCTATTCAAAGGGGGTATCGATACTCTATGCACAAAAATGTCAAAAATCCATTTTAAACACTCAAAATGCTAAATTAATTAGCTCTAGTGGTATTGGCAACTCATATATTGAAAATTAATCATGTTCAATCAATCAATTTAATCCATAAAATTAATTTTCTCCAAAGAACATAAACTCCCCCTAACTAATAGCAAATAATGCAATAAAAAATTTATTATTATAAACATTTTTCATTTATTCATAAAAGTGCTAAAATTAATTTAAACATTAAGTGAGGAAAGGTCAGTTAAACCTAATTCTCTCCTAAGTTTCCAAAATCTTTCTTTATCTAAAGGTTTTGTAAAAATGTCCGCTAATTGGTGCAAAGTATCAACAAATTCTAGAACTACATATTCCTTAGCGACATGATCTCTAATGAAGTGATGTCTAATTTCAATATGCTTAGTTCTAGAGTGTTGGATGGGATTTTTAGTGAGACAAATAGCACTAGTATTGCCACACTTGATAGGAATGATACCTACTTCAATTCCATAATCAAAAAGTTGTTGTTGTTTCATCCATAAAACTTGTGCACATCAACTACCGGATGTATTCCGCTTCAGTGGTAGATAATGCCACACAATTTTGTTTCTTTGAAAACCAAGAAATCAACATATTTTCAAGGAATTGGCAAGTATCAGAGGTGCTTTTCCTATCTAATTTGCATCCTCCATAATCCGCATCAGAGAAGGCATGCAAGCTAAAGTTAGAGTCTCTAGGATACCAAAGTCCTAAACTAGGAGTGTCCTTAAGGTATCTAAAGATTCTCTTAACAGCTAGTAAATGTGTCTCCTTAGGACATGATTGAAATATGGCACATAAACAAACACTAAACATAATGTACGGTCTACATACAGTTAAATAAAGCAAAGAGCCAATAATTGACCTATATAATTTAACATCCACATATTTACCTCCTTCATCTATGTCAAGCTTTGTTGATGAGCTCATTAGAGTGTCATGAGGTTTCCCATTTTCCAGTCCAAACTTCTTGAGCATATCTTTGACGTACTTAGCTTGATTGATGAAGATGCCATCTTTTCTTTGCTTGATTTGGAGTCCCAAGAAAAATGAGAGCTCCCCCATCATGCTCTCTCGAATTCACTTTGCATTAGCTTAGAAAATTCTTGGCAAAGAACATCATTAGTAGAACCAAATATTATATCATCAACATAAATTTGAACTACTAATAAATCTTTACCTTTATGATTTAAAAACAATGTAGTGTCAACCTTCCCTTTTGAAAAACCTTTTTCGATTAAAAAATTTGACAATCTTTCATACCAAGCTCTAGGAGCATGTTTTAAACCATAAAGAGCTTTTGTCAATTTAAGAACATGATTTGGAAATTTTGAATCTTTAAAACCAGGAGGTTGTTCCACATACACTTTTTCTTTTATAAAACCATTTAAAAATGCACTTTTAACATCCATTTGATATAATTTGAATTCATTGAAACATGCAAATGCTAATAACATTCTAATAGCTTCCATCCTAGTTACGGGAGTGTAACACCCCCAACCCGTACTCGACCCGAATACGAGTCTGAGATGTCACATTACCTTTTTAAAGCATTATTCTTAAGAAAATAACAAAACATTTGAATTATATTAAGAAAATACGATAATTTACATATATATATATGTTTATACAAGATTCACAAAATACTCAGAGCATACACAACTTAACCTTCTATTACATGCCAACACTGATTTACATAACAAAATGACATACTATTAAGTTGCTTCTGATATGATAGTTGCAGGAGTAATGTTGTCCATCTGCTTAACCTCGATCATCTACTTTATCAAATCCTATGTGTGCAACACTCACACGCTAAGTCATCGACTTAGTGAGGCAATATAATAATAACCATAAAATATAAAGAAATTGCCAAAATGAGATGGGTTACAACTGATTCTGATCTAGCTTGTGCTCGAAATCCCGAATCTCTTCCTCTTTTTTATGGTGCTAAGTTGGAAGAAACACCTGTCCTCTTTGATGTTTGAACTCTTGAATCCCCGAATCTCTCATTCTGGGCTCTCTCTAAAGCTTTTGCATGATTGATCACCTCCTGGAACGAGGACAAATTCAATACTATCAGCATCTCTTTCAATCTAGGGCGTAATCCCTCCACAAACCACTCACAAGCATCTTTTTCAGTAGGCACAAGCTCGGCTGCGAACTGACTCAGCTTGTTGAACTCGCACTCATACTCATATATAGAGCGGTTCATCTGTTTCAAATTCAAAAACTCCTGCTTCATATGCCGAATAAACTGATCTCTAATGTACTTATTTTTAAATTCATCTAAGAACAAAGACCAAGTCAACTGGTCACTGGACATCCTCATGGTGATGTTCGTCTACCATATCCTCACCTAACCCCTCAGCAACGAGACAACTCCATCTAACTTCTCCACTTCAGAACAGTGGAGACCATCCAACATGATTTTCAAATCATTTAACCAAAGATCTGCCGCAACCGGACCTTCCTTGACTTCTCCCTTAAATTCAGGAGCTCCTAAACCTCTCAACTCTTTTGCTACATTCATTCTTTGAGTTGGTAGAGCAGGAGGTTGAAGACGCGTTAGAATAGTGTCCAACGTCCTGAATAAAGTATCTTGGTCTTGTACAGGCACTCCCTAAGATGCATGTCCTTCACCTTGCCTGGCCAGGGCAGGTGAATTACTGCTTTTAGCAGGCCTATCCTCTCTCACTTCACTTCGGGAGCTACTATGTTCGGACATCTAATAAGAATAAACACATCGTTCTATTAACAAAACAACATACTCATACTATACCAGATCAGAAGTTCTCACTATATGTTGGCATGTATACCATTTAAAAACTCTATAGACTCTGGTTTATGCCTAGAATCGGCTAAACCATAGCTCTGATACCATTAAATGTAACACCCCCAACCCGTACCCGAACCGGATACGAGTCTGAGATGTCACATTACCTTTTTAAAGTATTATTCTTAAGAAAATAACAAAACATTTGAATTATATTAAAAAAATACGATAATCTACATATATATATATATATAGGTTTATACAAGATTCACAAAATACTCAGAGCATACATAACTTAACCTTCTATTACATGCCAACATTGATTTACATAACAAAATGACATACTATTAAGTTGCTTATGATCTGATAGTTGCAGGAGTAATGTTGTCCAGTTGCTTAACCTCGATCGTCTACTTTATCGAATCCTACTTATGCAACACTCACACGCTAAGTCATCGACTTAGTGAGGCAATATAATAATAACCTTAAAATATAAAGAAATTGCCAAAATGAGATGGGTTGCAATGATAATATGAATGTAATCAATGCAATAACCATAACCATATTCTTACACATAGACTTATCAAATTTCACATTCATAAGTTCACATTATTAAGTTCATTAGCCCATGATACCATACTGAGAACCTAAGGTATATGAGTATTGTGAGGTTGTACACTATGCTGTCACCACAGCTCGTATAATTGCACCGAAGTGCCACGTAGAATTGCACCGGAGTGCCACGTAGAATTGCACCGTAGTGCCATATAATAATGTCCATAAGGACCACATATCATTCCTTAAGAATCATATAGATATACTAGGTATCAAGTATGTGTCTCACAAGAATTCACACATGTTCCAAAGAATATATATATATCCCAAAGGACCGCGTAGACCCTCTACCCTTGGCATGCCAACTATACCTATAGTTCTCATCTACATAACATGGGCTTTCACAATTCACATAATTTATATCACGTAGACATAATATTTTCATATCTTTATCACATAGACATATTATTTCCTGCATATTCATGTCACATAATGCATATGGTATAAACTCATATCATGTTTCATAATATGGGATGTAATCATGTATCAAAATATTGAATCTAGACTTATCATAAGTCTAGAACTGATTATAATACTATATTCATGCTATGCATATGCACTCACCTAGATTTCTTTGTCTTTCCCTCGATCGATCCTACTTGTCGATTGTTCCAGAACTCGATTAGGCTCAATATCTACATAAACATAATTTTCAAGATGATTATTAGATGCCTAAGTCTTGAAATTAACCTCTAATAGCCTAAACAATGTAAGGAATTGATAGTTTTTTTATGGGGTAATCGGTTCCCCCTGTAGGGGTATCGATTCCCCTCTAGCATTCTGGAATTCATATTCGTTTGAGAGGGAATCGATTCCCCTTGAATGGGTACCGATTCCCCTAGCCCAGAAATCCCATTTTGAGCTCGAAAATCACCTTATTTCAGCTCAAACCTTCCTATTTTACTCCCTTTAATATTCCTAACTTTAATACACATACTTAAACTCATTTCTACTCCATAATCACTTCTTTAAACTCCAAATCTAGTCATTCCTATGTAATTGCAAAAATTATACTAGTTTTACAACATGCTCAAATTCCTATTTTAACACTTCCTATCTCTTAATTAACTTGATGACAAGTCAAATCTCACTTCCAATTCTTATTATGAACTCTAATCTAAGATTTCACTTTTCTACTTCCTTTTTTAATTCTTCATATACTTCTCATCTTGAGGTTTTAAAACAAATCAAACTTCCTTTAAGCTTAACTATTGCCTAATGGTCATAAATCAAATATAATTTCTTCAAGAAATTCACTAACAAGAGATCTTACCTTTAGCTTGGGTCTCACGTATGAAGAAGAAGAAGAAGAAGAAGAAGAGAACTCTGGAAGCTTGTTTTGATTTCCTATACTTGCACGTGGTTTAATATAATATTAACCCCAAATAATTATCTTTCTATGAAAAGACCATTTTAGCATTCTAATCCTCCTTCTTTATAATTTAATCAAACACAAAATAGCTCAAATAAGTCATTGAACTTTTTCATCATTCTACTTTAATCACCAAATTTTGAAACTTTACAATTTAATCACTAACCCGGTATGGAGTATGTTACAGGGAGCATATGTTTCATCATAGTCTATGCCCTCTTCTTGAGTAGACCCTTGAGAACCATGTCTAACATTGTTTCTCCCTATATTACCACTTTTATCAAGCTTATTCCTAAATACCCATCTAGTACCTACAGTAGATTTATTACTAGGCCTTTAAACTAATGTCCATACTTTACTTCTCTCAAATTGATTTAACTCTTCTTGCATAGCCATAATCCAATGTTCATCATTTAATGCTTCTTTAATATATTTAGGCTCTATGCATGAGATAAATGCAACATAATTACTAATATTTCTAAGAGAAGATCGAGTTGTTACCCCTTTGGATGGATCACCTATTATTTCACCATCCTTGACATAGTTGTATTCCTTTGGGTAAGAGACTTCCCTTTCTTCAATGGTTGGATTCTCGAGAGGATCTTGAGTTTCCTCATCTTTCATTTCTTCCTTTGATGATAGTTCTCCAACGTCATTTATATTTATAATGCCTACATCATCATTCACACAAGAATCCTTTCTCAGAAGGGGATTATCATCGAAAACAGCATGTATAGACTGTTCTACAACTAAAGTTCTTTTATTAAATACTCGATAAGCTTTAGAATTTAAGGAATAACCCAGAAAAATTCCTTCATCACTTTTATCATCAAATTTGCCAAGATTGTCCTTGCTTTTGTTTAAAACAAAACATTTACATCCAAAAGAATGATTAGGCTTTTTATTTTTGAAAATTTCATATGGAGCTTTCTTTAAAATTGGCCTAATCATTACTCGATTTACAACATAACAAGCGGTATTTGTGGCTTTCGCCCAAAAATATTTTGGCAAATTATTTTCACAAAGCATGGTTCTAGCCATTTCTTCTAAAGTTCGATTTTTCCTTTCAACAACTCCATTTTGTTGAGGGGTTCTAGGTGCTGAAAAATTATGGCTAATGCCATTAGAATTGTAAAACTCAGTAAATCCAAGATTTTCAAATTCAGTGCCATGATCACTTCTAACACTAGTGATAGAGTAACCTTTTTTGTTTTGGATTATTTTTGAAAATGTGATAAAATGTTCTAAGGCTTCATCTTTAGTACTTAAAAATATAACCCAAGTATATCTAGAATAGTCATCTACCAAGACAAATGCATATTGTTTTCCACCCAAGCTAGTAGTTCTAGTTGGCCCAAAAAGATCTATATGGCTCGATTGTAATATTCTACTAGTTGATACATCATTAATGTATTTAAAAAAAAAACTCGCTTTTGTTTTCCTTTAGCACAAGCATCACAGATTTTATCATTATCAAATTTTAGTTTAGGCAACCCTCTTACTAAATCTCCTTGAATTAGCCATTGCAAAACACTCATACTAGCATGTCCTAGTCTTCTATGTCATAACCAACTATCTTGCTCATCCTTAGCAACAAGGCATAAATTAGTCATATCTATAGAATCTAAATGCACCATGTAAATGTTTCCTATTCTATGACCAACCATTAGTTTCAAACATGACATTGAATCCCTTATCACAAAATTGACTAATACTCAAATTATGTTTTAATCCATTCACATATAAAATATTCTTAATTTGTATGAAAGAGGTATTACCTATAGTACCTATACCTTCAATATGACCTTTTGAATTATCACCAAAAGTCACTTCTCATCTATTTTTAGCGTTAAAGTCAATGAACTGGCTCTTGTCTCCAGTCATATGTCTTGAGCATCCACTATCAAGGTACCATGAATTTAAATTTGTTTCCCTTCCTTGTAGCAATGCTCTTTTTCCTTAGAATCTTCCCCGAATGTCATCAAGCACAAATTTGCTCCTTCTTGTTCCTCTTCATCGGAACCTTCTTCATCTCTCCATGTAGCCACATGAGCCTTGTGCTTATTCTTTTATTGACCCTTTCTCTTCAATTGTGGGCAATCATATTTGACATGCCTCGACTTTTTGTATTCATAGCAAATGATCGGGTCCTTCTCTTTTGGTTCATTTTTGAAGCCTTCATTTCGTTTGAATTTTCTTTCTCGGTAAGGTCTCATCATTTTTGTGAACCGTTTGTCAAACAATGTCATTTCCTCGTCATCGTCATCTTCGTTTGAATCACTCTCATCTTTTGTTGATTTGAGAGCAACTCTCATGTCCTTCTTTTTCTCATTCTCCTTTGGTGTCTCGTCAATTTTATCGAGGTCCACCTCATCTTCAAGCATCATTTCATGAGTGAGGAGGGAACTGATTAGCT